AGCTCAGCCAGTGAGATTTTAGTTAAAGGGGTCAAAGGCTCAGAGAGAGACCAACTCTGTACCAGCAGGCCAGAAACCCAGGTATCATCTTTGACTCACAAAATTTGAAGGCTCATGTGGACTTTGTCACCAAACCAGGCATAGAGGACTAAATAATACATTATTTAAAATGGGAAAACATGTTACTGAAAGATATGATTTATGTGGAGAGGAAGAACCATTAGAGCATGTTATGTTATACTGCACAAAATATGAGGCTGAGATGAGAGAAAAAATTCAGAAATTTATAACTATAAAGGTAGCATTTGATCTATGTGATAATTTACATAGAGGTTCTGGAGACATATTTTTTTGTTTTATTTCAGAATTTAAGAGAAACAATATGTATAGAAAGATGTTAGAAGTTATTTTTTATTAAATGTTATTACAATGCTTATAATTGTTTGATCTGTTTCGTTATTAGATTTAGGAAAGAGTAGTGCGATTCGTGATGCACACTCCTATCCAGTTGGTGGCGGTAAGGTGCAATGTCGTTGTTTGCCAATCGCCATTAAGCTCGAAGAAAAAGAGGAAGAAGGGGAAAAAACGTTCCGCAGGGGGATAGACAGTTATGTTATGTTGACACAGATTTATAGGTTTGACTTAGAGACTTCAGAGGTGAGTTAAAATAGGTTAATGTCAACTTTTGTGTCGATACGTTAAGTTAGCATAGTTGTGAAAGCTCTGTCTGTTAGTCCTTTTACGGAATTGTTTAATTTGTCTTTTGGTTATTTTAGGTAGTTAGTTGTTAGGCTAAAGCCATAGCAAACAGTAATTGTTAACGTTAACCTAGGTCCCCAAACTTGGAGCAGGAAGTGGGAACACGTTAGTTGGGTTAAGTAGAAACTGGGTCAGGTTACGTATTATGAGACAGAACTGGTTAGGGTTAAGGTGGAAGTTAGGTCCAGATTAAGGTAAAGTGAAATGCATGAGTACGGGAAAACCTACCTTCCTTCTCCCAGCATCTACTCTGGAAGGTTGGGATCTAACCACGGGCAAGCTAACGCCAGACAGCTTTTTAACTTAAAACATCATAGTCTCGACAGTGACATAATTTTCTTAGAAGACAAGGCAACCAGACTGTCGAAAATCATTGGAAAACATGTGGACGTATTTTGAGCGGTTACCAACACATGGTTAGCCAGATTAACTATTGTGTGTTTCTGAATTTCAACCTTATCATGTGGAAATGTGACATACTTTTCACTGGTAGCTGTCTGGCTACACCAAATTGTGATCCTTCAGACTCTGACCTGATTAAAAATGACTATAGGATCACACATTTTGATAGTTTAAAAAGTTGTAACCCCACAGACCAGGGTTAGGATCATAAAAGCAGTTGAGGACAAGATCTTCACCACTTTTTGTGTTTTAGCTATGTTTATGCTATATTAAATTTTTGAATGCTGCTTGTGGAAGCAAGCATGTACACAGCCTTCCATGGAAGAAGAATTTAAATATCTAGTTCCTTAATGAACATGTTACAAGTTAATTTTCTCCATTTTAAGGGTTTGCTCATGGTGGTTGTGTTTTGTCAGCATGGAGTGTGGTGGCCTGGTCAGTGACTTGGTGTCTCCGGAGTCGACGGTGACTTCCTTGCTGTCGAGCTCTGGTCATCTGAGAAGCAGCCTGCTGCTTCCTGAACACAACACCACCTACAGATACAGAGACAAGGTTAATTCTGATTCTAATGTTTCTCCTCCGGCTTTCTTTTCTACTGCAGTGATGGAGCTCTGTGGAGGGACTCCGCCTGTCATTGTCTTCTGTCCTGTCACATTAACTGAGCCAGTGTCTACAGCCTTTCTTCTCACCTAGTAACCATTATGCCACTTTTTATTGACAAAGGTGAAAGTTTGCTCTTCTTAGATTAAATGGAAGATTTTTAGTGAAAGTTCTGCATAGCTTTTTTTTGACAAATAAAATGAGTAAGGATCAAAACAGGCTGTTACTGGTAAATTTAACATTTCTGAACAGTTTCAGTACTTCAAGTTAAAAGGCCTACAACTACTTCACAGTAAAAATCCTTCAGCTGCATCTCACTAACACCCTGCTAGATGTCTCTTGGCTTCATGTCTTGCTTTCTTCAGTTTGCCTTTCTGATGTAAGTGATAAAATTCAAAACAAGCTGCAGACCATAAAGATGTATGTGGTGCTCTGCTTACTAAAAACAAATCATAGATGTTCATTGATTCATTGATTTTGCAGAACTATGACTCAGCCTCAGTGGCGCTGGATGCCTACATTGCAGACTTCGAGAGGAGTCATCAGAACAGTGGGTCATTGACAGGACAATTAGTTCTGCCACACAGTCCCCTATCCACACCAAGCAGACCCAGAGTGCATACACTCAGAAACAAAGATGGTAGGTCACTACATGGAGACTCTGTCACTGAGGAGCAGTTTAGGGTAAATCCCACAGGTCTCATGTCTCTATGTTAATGTCTAATACTGGAGTCCTTTTTAAAACATTCACCTATTATTTTTCAGTCATTTTTTGTTTCAAAGTAAAAGCCTAACTAGAGATGGAGTGCTGCAAATTTGCTTCAGCTAGGTGCCATTTACAGTAGATATTCAGTCTTGCATTTCTATGTTTTAATGTTTCTTTGCTTTTTTTTAAATAAAAAAATAAACTAATTAATACAAATAAAGCCAACCAGGAACTGGAATTTTCTTTGAGGCACTACAAGACTTTTAATGTGAAATATCTTCATAAAATGGTGTTAGATTGTCCATATCAAGATCATAATAGTGGTCAAAATAAATTGGCAAAGTGAAGCTTGAGTATATGATCAATGTGTGTAAAATTAGGAATAAATGTTTATCTCTGCAGATACCCCTGTTTGATAATTATATAATGTAGTAATTAAAACACACCACTGTTTTGTTATTATTATTATTATTAAAACATCTATTCCTATGTGCATCCGTTTTGGTTTTTTAGTACTTAATGTTTTATATTTTGTTCCTAAACATAGTTCTCAGGGAGAGTTTGACTGATAGAGAACTGGACTTCCTGAATCTTCCTGTCAGCTCCCTCTGTCACCGTGACAACCGAGAGAGACTCTCCATGACGACGGAAGAGCTGCTGTCTATCCCTTATGATGGCTCGATGCCTGTCACCCATACCTCTGCTTTCATCCAAGGTTTTTAAATGCATCTCACACACAGCTGCATTCATCTCAAGCTTTTAGATGCATTCCTGGCACCTGGACCTTTATCTGAAATCAGTCTCACACATCGCCCACAACTCTGTCCTCGTCCGAGACCTAATAACTCGCATGTTTCCCCTCATCAAAGGACTTTAAATTCTGCACCCACACCTTGGCTTTCAGCTCAGTTCTTTCTACACATCACCCACCACTCTGTCTTCATTCCAAGTCAATAAATGCTTCACTCATACTTCCACCTTCATCCCAGGTCTTTAAACGCACCACCCTCACCTTAATAAGCCTCTTTAAAAGCATTACCACAACCACCATCATCACTATCTGTTGTCTTTAGACACAGAACCTTAGGATGATGGACATACAATATGTCTATTCAGGCATTGTTTTGACTAGATAATGAATAGACTGATAAAATAAATAATTGATAAATGAGCAGTAGTATTGATGAGATACAGTTTTTAAGTAAATCTCTGTCTCTCAGTTCCTCTGACTTGTCCCAACTGTTGATCCAGGCCTCCTGTCCCAGTCTGGTACCTCCAGACGTGGATACAAAGCCAGTGCTGAGCTCAGGAGCAGTCACGCTGCCCCCCGACTGAACCACAGCCATCCTCACCTAATCAGGACACCCAGAAGCTGCAGGTTCATGTTGTGGGCATGTTGCTCTTTTCTCTACTGTTCTGTACGTGTTCTACATCGTTTCATTTCATTACTTTCTCCTCCTCACAAGGTCCAGAGGAAGACCAGATGCAGTTCCATTTAATACACTTGATGGCAGCTTTAAGGTGACTGTCATTAATTAATTAATTTATTTTTTTAAGTCTGGACATTGTGTCTGTGTAAGTGGGCATCATTGTTTCCATGTCTGTGTCCGTCTCTCAGTCTGCACACAAAGCAGCAGGCTCACAGTGGGAAAACCCACCCTCGTCGCTCCACCTCCCTCGCTGGTTCACCAGCAACAAGGCTGATATGGACTGTTCTGAAATGAGTAACGTGCCAGACCTGAAGTACCCAGCTTGGATCCAGCACTGTGACCTCAATGAGTCACCACCGCCCCCAGAGTCAGAGCTGTGGAATGACCATGGTATAACACTCACTGCAAAACACCAGCACTACCAGGGTCTCTGGTTCAGTTCCCTCTATGACATACTGTATGTTGCATGTTCCTTCATGCCTCTTATTACACTTCATAAAACACTAACACTGTATTTAACTATAGACTGACGACACGGCAACATGTATATGTTTTCTTCAACTGACCATGAATGCAAGCACCACTTTTGTGTGTGTGCACTGTTTGTGGCAGTCAGTGAGCGCATACTCACATAAGAGTTGTCATGACCTCGATCCTTGATATTAGTCATATATTAAGTTTCAAAATGCATGGACAAAGGTAACTGTGGAGGTTTGCATGTGTGCCCAAGTGTTTGCACAGCTTGCAGCAAGCAGCATGTAGCCCACCTAACTAGCATACTACCTACAGTAGTAACTGTCTTATTTCAAAGGCCAAGGGTCACATTATTGACTAACCACATTAGTTGGTGGGATTACAGGCCAAATAAAACAAGTCCAGTTCAAGACTAGTATATATACTGTGTATTATTTTGCCACTGTGTCCCGAATGCCCTCAGGCTTTAAGGCTAACTTTTATTGGATTTGGGGATATTTATACTAGATGCTGGATACCCAAACCCAGCCCAGCTGGACCCATCAGTACCCAAGGGTTCGGGTCAGGTTTGGACAGAAATTTAGAAATCATGTTCAGGTTTGGCCACGTAGATCAAACTTTAGGCTAAACAGGCATATTTGCATTTCTAAATATTTCACTTGTAAATGAATCCATGCTTTTTCTTTAATTTAATTTAAAGAACTTAGCCTAAAATTACAATGATGCCCATTAAGTATATGACAACACTATCCATGGTATCAGACACACAAGGCCCACAGAAAAACACTCGACTGCATTGGGATCAGGTCGGGTTCGGCCACCGCACTCTTGGGCTCGTGTCGGGTTCAGACTGACATATGCAGCCCAGCTGATAAGCTAATTTACACATTAGGAATTCCAGTTGCAAGTATAACGAGGTCATGTATCATAATTTTTGTAAAACAAAATTATGTGGATATTTTCAGCATCAAATCACATGTGGTGATGAGCTTATATGTTTTCACCTGCAGCTCCCAGGACCAGAGCTCCATCATGGGTAGCAGAGCTGGAGGATGATGATCCCAACCAGACATGGCCACAGGTGAGAGACGAGATCAAACTGTTGTTTGAAACTTTAATTTATTCTGTCAGCAGCTTATGTTGTCTGAAAAATTGTAGGCCACTTGAAAAAGGATCAGTGACAATGATTTGATTGTTATGTGATTAAAATACTGTAATAACATGTCTTAAGGACATTTCAGAGAGTAGAAATTTCAAGCTAGAAATGTTTTGATATCTTTTTATAGCCTCCCCTGGTTTGTAGGCATCAATTAAGTTAATTTTCAGATCCTCACTCAGTTGCTGTTGAAGAGGCAGGTCAACATTTATCATTAGGAATTATCATTTGATTGTGTTTCCAGAGTTGATCAGTTGCCGTCTTTCAAACTGACATGAGTTTTAGAAGTAGATGGTGCCCACACTTTGACACAGTCCCACAATTAATGATTAATTTTTGTTTTTTTTTTTTAAGTCTGACCTACAAAAGTAACAGTGCATTAACAAGTGGACAAAAGCTTATTTTTAATGGATTTCTTCTACTCACATGTCCAGGGTTTCCCAAACCTTTGGACAGAACTGTATTGTGGTCGCGGTGTCAAGAATGACCTTGTGTATGTGTGTGTGTGTGTGTGTGTGTGTGTGTGTGTTTGATCAGGCTGACAGCCAGCAGACTCTTAGAGATCTGAGTCTTCAGTTTGCTGAACAGATCTCGCTGCTTGCCACAGAGAGAAAAAGCTCTGACATCATGGAAACTCCGTTCACAGGTAAAATACATTAATTAACTCATTTTATTTGTATACGTTGTACCATATGGTGGCCAGCCCATATAGGCTTGTAAGACTAGTCAGCAATAGCAGCCAAGATGGACACATGAACTTTTTATATTTCCACAAATTCAAACTGAGAAGGACAAAGGACATTCTTTTGAGGACATTGAAGTTCAGATCCTCTCCAGAGAACATCGCTGGTTTGAGAGAGGAGTCAAGGAAGCTATTTTTGTAAAAATAGAACACCCCTCACTAAATAGAGGTGGTGGACTAAGACACAACATGTCATCCATCTACAGTCCTGTACAGTACATGCCCACCAGGACAATAGGCGTCGGTCCATAGGTGAGGGCTCAAAGACAGGTAACGACGCTCACTGATACTGGGCTATAACGACTCAGTTATTAGGGGACATTGTTGGGCATCAAAGGACTGAAACACTAATGGGGATAAATATCTCTGACTCAACGCCAGTCGGGCAGAACTGATGAAGCCTCTTGGATGAGACGTGAAACATCTTCGACCTAAAAACTTGGTCCAGTTGATTTTTCTAAGTTTTTTCAGCATAGTCAGGACATAATTTTGTTTGTTTCTCTGAGTTAATTCTGTTTTTGCTGTTTGTGTATGCATGTGTCCTGTTAGACAGGAGGATCGAGGCTCTGATCCAAAAGGTGGATCAGGTGTTGAACTCTCTATCTCAGAGCTGTGGAAGACCAGACAGTCCTGCAGATTCAGGTGGGGTCAGGTAGCATCACATTAGCATAAACACACCTTACTAGGTACCATACAGAAATAACAGTTTTGTTATCCAGAACAGTGTGGGGTTTCAGTTTTAGTTTGCTTTAGTTTGCTCTCCACTTTATCCATTTATGCTCTTGATAAATAAAAGTGATGATAATAATAATAATAATAGCTGTATTTGGCCTCGCTTTACAGTGAATTTGGTGTCTCTGGCATTAAAATGTCCTGACAAAAGTCAAATATTACAGATTTCTTCACTGTGTGTTAGGAACAGTGGTAATGATGACCATTTCTAACAAAAAAGAACAAATTAATATGCTTAACATCTGAGAGCAGCATTTTAAAAGTTAACACAGGCCGCTAACTCAAAGTCATGCAACACAGCAGCTTAACAATAAAGACTTTCCAGCTAACTTGAGGAAGGAAAGAGATGTCATTAGGTGACTAACTATGAAGCAGACAGAGAGCTTTTATTTTATTTTTTTAAAGCTGTGAGTGGTCAGCTTGAGCTTCTCACGATTTCTCCTACAAGTTTCAGATGCTGGTAGAAATTGTTGATAGACAACAGAGAGCAGTGACAGATTTGAGAGCAAACGAGGGCAGAGTCGTGAGCATAACAGTTGATTTAAGCAAGCAGTGGGAATCCTCCCTCATACATTCTGCTTCGCAAAGTGAACAGTGCTTGTTTTGTGCATCTTCAATACTTTTGGCACCAACAGACTTTTACCTAAAACTAGAGAAATCTGAGAACGCGCACTCAAAAATGAGGGCACGCATGGCCAGGATTATGCCCTCCACTCTGATTATGCGCTTACAAATCTGTGCCTGCACACTCTTAAATGCTGTTATAAACTGAGTAATGCTTGAAATGTGGTTAGTGTGTTAGCTGATAGGCACATTCACAGAGACGGTAACAGTAAAACACCATTCTTGTGAATTTTTTTGTTTGTTTGTTTTGTTTTAAGCAACCAGGCATATATTGTTCTTATTCATTAACTGCTTTTGTTACCGTTGTTATTCTGCAGTCCATCCAGTGAACACCGAGGAGCTGCTGCTCAGCTCGCCCTCACGCTGTGCTCCATTCAGTCTGTAAGACTTAATTACACTCCCTTTGTTAACTCTGGGGCACCAAAACTGAACACACTGATCACACTTGATATGTTGAACCTGCAGGGACTCAGAAGCAGCAGGAGGTGTCACAGAGGCTCAGCCTGACAGAGGAGCTCAGGTAGTATTCAGTCTATCCTGTTTCATTTCTCAGCTTTCACTGATTCACAGCATTCCTTTCATTATCAACTTTAATTTCACTTTGTGGTGCTAACATGCCTGAAAGATGCTGAGAGTGACTCTCTCACTGCAGTCACAGTGTACACATCTGTCTGGTATGTTTCCCAGGCTAGGGAATGCAGTCTCCATGGAAACAGCATCTGGAAGCAGCCTGGTCCAGTGGAGGCTTTAAAACAGATGCTCTTCAGACTGCAGGCACTCGAGGCAGAGGTTAAGCAACAACAACGGCAACAACAAGCATCACTAGCTCCAACACTCGCAGGCAGGCTACAGACAGAGGGGACTCCAATGGAGCAGGTAGCCAGTCAGCCAAATATAATTGGTGTTGAATGAAAAAAAGCACTTGATTTGATTTGATTTTGATTTGATGCACTGGATTTGATTTGATTTTGATTTGAGTTTATTTATTCTTTCAAGCATGTAAAGACAGTTGATATGTCAACACACATAACTTTACACATATCCAACAAATGCTAATCCAATATCAATTTGCTTATACCTAGTACATGCTTGAATGGAGTAGGAAGAAGTCAGACTTATCCAGTCCTACCCCATGACATCATCTTACCATCATTGGTTTGCAAGCAGTATCTCTACATAGATAATTCTCTTCTACACCACACAAGTAATATACTAAAAACTTATGACAGAGTGTTAACATTCATACACCACACCCACAATGTTCCATCTAATTAATCATTAAGCCTGTTCTTGCATATATCTTGATTGACACATACCTTTATATTTATGTTTAAACTTGTCAATTCTATTACTATTTTTTATGTCTACACTTAAATTATTCCATAGTTTTACCCCACTTATGGAAAT